AACACTTACTGGCAACAAGGCAAATCCCCTCCAACCCCCAATGCCCCATCGACACTGGCTGAAGGAGACTTTTTATTACTTTTATGTACAGAAAACGCCGACAGTGGACACTCAGCCCAGCTTGGTGGCCAGTTCTTTAGCCTTGGCCTTCTCCAGCTTGGCGATGCGAGCCACGGACTTGGGGCCCAGGACGTTGCCGCCCCAGTGGCGGCGGATCTGCAACGACAAGAGCAGCCATTAGCTCCGCCTGTTGCTTTGAGGCTCTCAAATACAGTTCGTGCTGTTCTGTTTGGTCATTCCAAGCAAATGGCCAAACACAACTACTCAGAGAGCCGGTCAGCCCGACTAAAGGCTTGATTTACCCAAGACAGTGTGTGTGGAGCACGCTGCTTACCTCATCGTATCTGTCGTTATAATTGGTCCGGATAGCTTCCACCAGCTTAGCCAACGCTCCTTTGTCTTCCCTGACAAGCCAGAGGGAAAATACGGGTCACGGTTCCCCTCCCAGAGCACAGGAATGACCACCAAACACAACCCTTTTGCCTCAGATACAATATGACCACATGATTTATTCAGGTGAAGAAATTCATAACCATCATTGGCAAAGGTTCACGTAAATATATCTTTTAAGCTAGAACATTTGGTTTTTAAGGTAAAATCCTAAGAGATTCAGTGGGCGGGGTGGGGGTGGGGTTGGTGGCAGCTGTCCCCTAGTGATGCTTGGGAATTTAGGGCCATGGTGCATACTTACGAGTTAACCTGTGTAAAGGCGACGGTGGTGCAGGTCTTCCTGTGGACTAGACGCCCCAGCCTGGCCTTCCCCTTGATAATGCAGTAGGGAACCCCCATCTTGCGGCACAGGGCAGGCAGGAAGACAACCAGCTGGAAGACAGCATTAGCTCTAGGAGTATATATATTTTGACTGGAAGCAATTAATTTAAAAACTAGCCCAGTAGCAATTGCTCAGGGTTAAAAAGCTCATGTACTTGCACTTCAAGGTTTAATTCAGTAAGAAATTCACATCATTGCAAGAGCCACAAGTTGGATCCCTTGTCAGTACTGTCCTCAAGTGAAAAGCGGCCATTTCACTTTGGCCTCCTAATATGACACACTTGGTATTAAGCTTTACTTTCCAGGTACTGACAAAAACCCTAGTAGTCAACATATAAAAACAAGGCAAACGTACCTCGATAGGATCCACGTCATGTGCTATCACCACCAGCTGAGCCTTCTTGTTCTCCACCAAAGTGGTGACAGTATTAACCCCTAGAACACACAACCAGTTTGCACAAGTGCTTGGGGGGCAGCTAACAAAAGCAGCTGTACACACAGTGGGCCCAGCTAGGAATCAGGGTTTTAAAAAGCTCAG